TTTTTTTTTTTTTTTTTTTTTTTTTTTACAAAATAGTTGTTACTGGTCCTGTTGTATCAGTGAATATAGTTAAAATAAGTACTATTTTTTAAAAGCCCTATGTCCCTATATATCTCCCATTCCTCCTAGTTTTCTTAAAAGAAGTGTCTGTATTCCCGGTCTCCTGTAGTGCCACTCAAACTGCTCTAGCCAGCCAGATCCTTGTCAACATTCTTGCCCTCTCTCACACCACTGACCACTTTTCCTTGAAGTCCTGGTTTACTTTTGCTTCGGGGGCAGATACCATCAGCAGGTATGCTTTCTCAGTCTCCTTCGTGGGTACTCTTTCCCGTCCATGTTTGTGTTCTTGTGATGTTAAAATTTGGTTTCAGAGCTACCGTTTTGTACCTCCCCTTAGCTGCTGTCATCTCTGTTCGCAGCTTCAGTTACCGTTTATGTGCAAATAATTCCTAAATTCCTATCTCCTTTCCAGGCCTTTCCTAATCCATATATCAAATGCTAACTTAAGTCTGCTCTGCCGTCTCATGGACACCATGGCATGTCATTGATCTTGCCCCCAAACCTGCTCCTTTTATGTTCCCTCTTTCAGTAGATGGCGCAGCTGCTATCAGTTGTCATAGCCCAAGCCAAAACCTGACCTGCCCGTGACTCTTCATCCGTCGCATCCACTCACGGGAACCTTGGTGTTAAGTCGACTGTCTCTAAAGTTTTTCTCCCTTCTCCAGTTCAGGCCATCAGCCTACCTTAATACAGCAACAGCATCCTCGTCAAGTCTCTCTTTCTCTGGTTTCGATCCCTTTTTATGCTGCAGCCAGATCATTCCAAAAGACATAGTTGGTCATATCTCTCCACTGCTTTCCCCATTATGTAGGATAACATACGACTGATATTCGTCTTTGAGGTCTCAGTTTAAGTACCACTTGCTCTAGGAAGCCTTCATAGATGCCCTCTAGACTAAGAGCCTTCGTAGATGCCCTCTAGACTAGGTGCCCCCACTGGACACTCCCTAAATACCCTTTTCTCCTAGTCATACACTTAGCACACTTTGTTGCTACTTATTGATCACTGCTAGACTGTAAGCTTTACCAGGGCAGGGACTGTGCCTTGCTAGCTGTTCTATATGTAGTGCTTAGCACAATGCCTGGCATTCCAATAAATGTTTGGATGAATAAATACGTGTGTAGTGTTTTATGATCTTTGAAGCCCTTTTGCAGTCTCATTTGACCTTCACCGAGGTCCTCCTGCCTTAGCCCGCTTCTTGGGTAATTGTTATTCACGTATTACAAATTAAATGAAACTAAGTTCTTTGTGACTACAGAGCCGTATTCCCAGAATTTAGCTCCGTGCTTGGCATGCGGCTCAAATATTTACTATGTGAGTGTTGTTGAGGAAACAAACTTACATTGCAGTTTGCCCTAGGAAACAAGAAGTGAGGCCAGGTTTCAGACGCAGGTATACTCACATAAATCTATGGAATATTGAGTCTTTACCTCCTTTATTTAGAAGTATTATTAGTTTACTATTTTTAGTTTTCAAAGGTAGACTTCAAAGGAACCTAGATGAAAAATATTGGGCAACCATTTAGTGAACTAAAACAATACTTGGGTAATTAAAAAGTTTTACTTGGCATCAGAAGATAATGCTGCTTAAAATATCCTTTTTCCTTTTATAATGTGTCAATCCTAGAAGAAAATGACCTACTATTTACTTGCTACTTTCCTTTACAGATGATTTCTGGCTCTTCTGGGATTTAAAAGTAAGTAAATTTAATAAAATTTTAGAGGAATGACTCAGTATTTCTGGTCACTAAATATCCAGTTCTCTTGCTTTCTTGCCTGCAGAATGTCCTCATCACTTCTCCAAGGGAGGTGACCCAAGAGGGACATCTAGTCAAGGTGTACTTAGATTTACTCTTTTTCTTTGCTTTCTTGTTCATGTGCCTCTGAACTTAATTTCTGGGTAACTGGGGCTTTTGGGATTCGTGGAAGAACTATAACCATGGCCTGTTTCCTTGAGTCATTTTAATTTAAGGGATTAACCAGTGTTCACTTAGTTGGACTTTCAGTCTGTGGCACATTAACTCATCCAGGGGCCTTAACGGTAGGTGTGATGGTCATCCGGTGATCCGTGCTGCAAAACTGGGTTTTCATGGGCTTCTTTAATCATCTGGATTAAACAATTTCTCGTTTTTATCTTTTTGTAATTGAGCAGTAGCCTCATCCTACC